GTCCCTATTCATCAACAACAGCAATGACGACACCAGCAACATCAAGTTTAACACTGCTCGTTCTTGTCTGCTCGCGTGCCACTACACACGTATATCCCAAACCCTGGGTACCCGCCCTCTTCGTTTTCGATCGTGCCCCATCTTAGGGGGGGATATCTGCCCTGCCTCCCGCGAGTAGTTGGCGCAGCCCCTAAAACAGGGGAATGGGGGAGGAGCGAAGACACAAAAAGGAAGGATAAGGATGGAACACGGGAGAACTTTAGAAGAGGAGGGTCAGGAGCAGCAGCACAAGCGGCAGAAACAGCCTCGCGTCTCGGGCGGGCGGGCCCTGACGGGCAACTCAGCCAGGCGGGCCCGGACGGCCAGGTCGAGCGGGCGGGTCGCTAAAGCGTCAACCCATCACGAATGAAGTTCCGAACAATAGCGTGATTCCCAAGTAAATTGATCGGAAATCCAAAGCGAGAGCGTGCTTCATGAGTCTTGCGGGCACGGCGCCGCAATAAAGTGTGAGAGAATACCACGGGAGACTGCGATTCCTGGACAACTTATGAGGCAGTGCCGCGTGAGAGCACGAATCTGAAATACATTGACAAAATATTAGGCGGGAGCCGTTTCTGTTGTTGTAAACCAGGTGCCCGGGGCGCCATTTGGTGACCACGAACTTCCCATGATAAATAGCAGGATGCGAGCCCCGGGAGGAACACTTCAATTGACACATATAACGGTCACCTGAGGGATGAAAACCATAGGCATTCCTTGAAGCAGAATGCGACACCAACAGCAACAACAATCGTTTTAACACTGCTCGTTCCTATTTCGTCTTCGTTTTCGATCGTACCCCCTTTTGGGCAAATCTTTCTTACCTGCCACGTGCATTTAGCGCAGCCCCCAAAGCGGGGGAGAAGAGGACGGACGGAGGGGGGGGAGAAAAATGGAGCACGAGAGACAGTAGCAGGAAGGGGGTCCTGCGCAGAAAACCCATGGCAGAACCAGACGGGCAGACCGGGCGGGTCGGGAAGGCGAGCCGGGGTGGCCAGGCCGAGCAGGACGGTTGCTGAAGCGTGAGTCCTGCATGAATCGCGAAGTCTCGAGCGAGAGCGCGATTCCCGAGCGAACCGCAAGAAAAACCAAAACAAGAGCGCGACTCCTGAGCGTCGAGGGCGACGGCGTTTGGAAAAAGTGTGAGGAACAAATTGTAGGGAAGTCCTGCGCGAGAGAGCGATGTTGCCATACATTGTGAGGAAGGATCAGGACCAGGCGGGAGCCGTTGTTGTTGAAGCTCGGGGGCTAGGGGGCCAGTTTGACCCTAAAGACTTCCCCTGATAATAAGCAGGGTGCGAAAACGGGAGGGGCACTTCAAATGGAAAGATGCCATGTGCGCCGCAGAATGGATCAACAACACGTATCCGTCAAACGTGAAAGTTTAAACATCACGTTTTAAACTGTTCGCTCCTATCTGCTCGCGGCCCCCATGCCTTCCCGAATAGCTGCCAACCAGAATGCTGCGCTGGCACGTAGCGGAAGTGCAAGAAGCAGCTGGAGCAGATGCGACAAGTTGGGCCCCATCGTCTTAAGACACGAACGCGAATGTGAGTCACACACACGCAAATGCGCGCACACACACACACACACACTTTCCCGTCAGCGGCGATGCGGCGAACTCCGCTCCAGCGAGAGGCTAGAAAGGGGCACTAACGAGCAAATTGGATGCGGATGCGGATGAGGGTGCGGCCTGCGTCGAGGCGCCGCGGGGGCGCTGCAGGGGGGCGCCGGGGCGCCACGGAAGGATGACAAGGTGAAACAAGGGAGGGTGAAACAGGGGATGGAGCAGAGATAGGGATAGACGAGAAAACGGCACATAATATTGCAATGTGTGTGTGACATCTACAGCAATACGCCACTCACTGCTCAACGAAACCTGGCCTCGATGTCCCATTCCTCTGTTGCTTCAAATGCCAGTAAAACTCCGACGCGGTTGTTGGTGGATTCAGAGCCGTTTGTTGCGGGCAACGGGGGGGGGGGGGCCAAGAGGGGGCGGGGAACGGCCGGCTGGCAAAGAGGAGGAGGAGGAGGGAGGAGGAGGAGGAGGAGGAGGAGGAGGAGGAGGAGGAGGAGGAGGAGGAGGAGGAGGAGGGGGGGCAACGGCCGAGAGATAGAAGGGACGCTTTGACGTCGAAGAGTTTGACGATGAGCAGCCGGGGGGGGGGCAGCAGCAGCCAAGCGAGCAGGGCCAGAGCGCGGTGGGCGGCACACACACAAACGAACGAACGATATGGGAAGACCAAGCGCAAGATCACACATTTGCTCACGATTGTTGAAATTAACTGCGTATTAAATTACTGGACATTCCGACCTAACGCGTTGAAACATGTATTGGGTGTCTGGACCTCGGCGTCGCGATATCCGTTCGGGGTGTATCCCTATTTTTTCTTTCCAGAACGGGAAACAGCCATTCACAACAAACAGCGGCACCTAACAGTTGCCGATGGGCTCTACTAAGCGTGTGACCATGTGACCATGTGTTTACTTATAGGCATGACTGGTTTCGACTGTACCCCAAGTGCACATATACATGGACATGCATACGCACGCGTGTACACCGCACCACTATCGTCACGCGTATGTTCGAGTGCCCTCTCTTCGCCCTTACTGACTTACTTGAACAGGCGCTGATGTGCCCGACTTCTGGATACTTGGATTCGCACAGCGAGGCCGATCAAGTGCGCATGGCTGTTTACATGTCCTTGCGTCGACTAGGCTCGATGGCGATCGAGCCTCTCCAAGCGCGCTCCTCATTCTGGTTCTGCGGCTGCCTTCCTCCTCATCCTGCTTCATGCATGGGCCTCGATTCGCACAACCGTGGCTCGACAGTCCTGGCCAACCCGCGGCGTCGGCAAGCTTGCCAACAACACACACACACACATCCACCACCGTAGGCTGGGGAAGGAGTGTCCTCAGGCCCCTGAAAATCCTTAACACTGACTCTTGTTAATACGCCAGAGGGGGTCCAGAAGCTCAAGTTCCGGGCTCTCTCTGGCGCGGGCGGCTCACAGGACATTTCTGGAGGCCTCGGGATGGAGCGCGGCTGGGAGTGCACACTCCTCCCCACATGTTTTCGGCTGACCCCAGGGGCCGTCCTGGAGGTCTCTTGGGGAAAGAGGCCAATGCAAATGTAATCATGTACATGCACCACAAAAAAACATGTTGCTGCATGGCTTTGGCACACTCGTCTCTTCGGTCGCGCCCAAGACGTCCCAATAGACCCCACGTGGTGTCCCAAAACGGCCCCAAATCCCCCAGCAGTGCCCAAGAGGCTCCCCCAAGACCCCAGACGGCCCGAAGAGGGCCCCAAGAGGGGGAACCCGCGCCGACACTTCAGGCCCTGCTCCCCAAGACTGCCCGCGAGACCGACGGCGGGCCTCAAAAAGAGATCCCCGAGAGGAGGCCCCGAAGGAGCCGGCGCCCGCCTGCCTATGCCTGCCTGCCCGTCGGCCGGGCTGCCCCTCGGCGATCGAGGGCGATGGAGCACATCATGCCGCTGACTCTGAACTGCGGATTCGAACGTGTCACGAGTAGGCCTGCCGCGCCGAAACGCAACGCGCAACCCGCAGCGTGTTGGCTCGGAGCTCAACGCGGAGAGCGCAGGCGCACGCTCGGCGCGGCGGCCCAAGCGCGGGCCAGCACGTGGAGCCGACGCGCAGCGCGACGCGGACGTTTCGCACACGGCACGTGCTGCGTGTCATGTCAAGACGGGCGCGTGAGGCCCTGCCCCCCCCAAACCCCACCCGGAACGCACGCGCTCGCAGCCGCAGCCAGCACCCAAAGTGCCTCGCGGGCCCCCTGCGAGGCCTCCCGTGGCGCCCCCCCTCGCAGACGCTCCCCCCCTCCGCCCCGACCAAAAGGGGCCCGGGCACCGAGGGCCCCGCCGCCGGGCCAGGAGATCCCCCAGATTACGTCCGACTTGCTCGCCGTTTCCCTGGCGCGCCCGTAAATGGGGTGCGGACGAGGTGGGCCCGACAGCAAAGTTGGTCCCAGACCGGCAGCGGCCGCTGCTGGGGGCAGTGGGCGACGGGTTGTCTCAAGTTGACCACATCCGCGGCGACACCGGACAGCGAGCTCGGCTCAAAGTGGACATGAGCTTTGAAGGCCTGGAAATTGCCTCCACGGGGGGAAATGATCCTGGATTTCGGCATTGGTGGTAATATTTCGGTCACCTTGGAAGCCAGAATATTACCACCATCACCGAGATCGGGATCTTCGCCCCTCGGTGGAGGCACACCGCCGATATTGGTGTCGGTGTCAACGTGGAGGCCTGCGAAACTGCCGTCGGTCTTCGTACCCAATCCGTTCCATACCCAGTACCGATCTGCCGGGGCGGGGCGGACCGCCCGTCTTGTTTGTTGAGGCGGGCTCCGGGGTAGGTGCTGGCTGCTGGCCTGGCGTCCGCGCGGGGAGAGGTCGCCACGGCGCGGCCAGCGCACTGGCGGCCCCGCACGCGCCGCACGGGGAAAGGCTTAGCTCATCCCGACTCCGGGCGTGCGAGCTGCCACCGTAGACGTGCTGGACCGTTCGCTTCTGTAGAGGCCTCCCAGATAGAAATGGGGTCCGAAAAGATGGGGTCGGAGGATCGCGCTGGATCGCCGACGAATCGCCGATGCATCGGCGACGTCAGCGGTGCTTCGGCGACGGCGACGTGGAGAGACTCGGCCTCCACACCGCGCCACAGCGGCGATGCATCGGCGATACAGAGCGATGCTCCGACCCCATCTTCTGGCGGACCCCATTCGGGAGGCCTGGATTTTGAGGGGACATGGGCCCAGCCGCCGCCGGTGGGGTAATGATGGGCCAATCTCCCACCACAACTACCATAGCTGGGAGAGGGAAGAGGAGGAGGAGGAGGAGGAGGAGGAGGAGGAGGAGGCCTTCCTCATCCTCCCTTCTCCCCCGTCCTACATCTGGTGGTGGTGGTGGCGGTGTAAGGTTTGCCCATCAGGTAAGTTTCACAGTGTCGGCTGGGCGAGCGGCGACCTGCAAACAACCGCCCTGCGTTTGAGGATCTCCGCCCGGAAGGCGGCCGCGTCGCCTGGCGGGTCGAACTCGAAGGAGTACGTCTTCTCCTCCGGCGCCCCAGCGGCCGGCCCCCCCATCCGGGCATACCCGAGCGAGCGCACCCTGGACGAGGACCTCCTGCGCTGCTGGAGCCGCAGCTGCAGCGACAGGACTCCGTGGGGGAGCAGCACGACCTCGCTCATCTCGCTGGCGAGGTCCAGAGAAAACTTCACTTGGTCCACCGAGCCAGGCTCGCAGACATGCAACTTGCAGCCCTCCAGGATCAGTCTTCGACGGTCGTGGCGCTGCGAGATGCCCCCCGACCCGCGGGCGAGCCTATAGACTTCCGCAGTGAGGCTGGTCGGTGACGAGAGGCACGGCGGCGAGGGTGGCGCACCCGACCAACCCGACTGAGGCAGGCTCGGGCTGGTGCAATGCGACGGCGCGGGAGAGGAGGCGGCGCTGGCCGCCGCCGCCGCTGGGCGCGCCGCAGCAGGCGCTGGGACCCACTGCTGCGCGTCCGTGTCCTCCCTGTCCAGCTGCGGCTGTGGCGGCGCGGTGTTCTGCGACCGGGGCGACTCGCGCTCGTCCAGGTCCAGCCACTGCACCGGCGCCGGCCGCTCCCGCGAAGCGGGCGCAAAGGGCGAGGCCGCGGCCTGCGGACGTGGCGGCTTGAAGGGCGAGGGCCCGGAGGCCACGGAGCGAGGGCTGACGGCGGAAGGCGTGGCGCTGGCCTCGGTCTGCTCCAACTCCCACGGCGCCGGGCCCAGCGACGTGTGGTGCCACATGATACGGCCTCCGGGGCCATGGCGGCAGACCCAGCCGTCAGGTGGGAGGCCGGTGTCCTCTGGAGGGAACCTGCCAGCTAGCGTCACCTCCTTGGGGAAACCACAAGGCAGGTACCGATACCGCTACTCCCTGGACCACTCCCGGGGTGCGTGCTGACCAGACTTTCGAGGCGAATCCAACGGTGGCGACGAGGGCCTCCGAGGAGGCCCGAAGAGGGGAACACGGGCGGAGGGCAGAGGTATGGGCACCTGTTCCTCCTCTGACTCCTGGCTCTGGCTAGCTCCAGGGGCGCTGCAGCCCAGCCCCTGCACGACCGTGTCGTAGGCGCGCCGCCGCAGCGAGCTCTCGCGGTGGCGCCAGCTGCTGCCCTCGCCCGAGCCCGTACTCTGCCTGCGCCCGCTCGCGGAGGAGGACAGCCAGGACCGCTCCCTCTGCTTGTCCTCCTCGTCGTCGCTGCCCTCGAAGGCCTCCCCCGCCAGCGCGAGGCCGTCGTCGGCGTCGAAGAGCGTGGGCTGCGTCCGCGCCGCCGCCATCTCGGTCAGGGCCGGCAGGTCGGGGAAGGCGTCGCCGACGCACTCGCGGAACTGCGGGGAGGCGAACACGTGCTCCAGCTGCATGCAGGCGTCGTGTATCCCCTCGACCATGTGCGGCAGGCGCTCCGGCGCCGAGCGCGAGCGCAGGTCCTCGATGGCCTTCGCCAGCAGCGCCGAGTGGCTCTCCCGTGCCGTGACGGCGCGCTCGATGGCACCGTGCGCTCGGCTGAGCTGGATCTCTGTCGGGATGGGCTTCTTCACCTTCTGGCCTCGCGCCTTCGCCAACACCAGCTCGGTGTCCATGCCCGCGTTGAGCGTGGCGAGGTGCCCCTTCAGCCCGAGGACCTTTGTGGAGAGGCCCAGGGACACGCAAACGAACAGACACAACTCCTAGGACTTCCAACCTCTTCCCACATGTTCTGGGTTTCCGTCTTCCCCCCCCCCTTTCCAATGTTTGCCCATATTGTCCTCGGAATCGCCGATTCATTGTGTCTCTGTGCTCTTCCCCCTCCTGAACCTTATCCACGATCGCGTCCAAGAACGGGTGGAGCCACGGAGCCACCCGGATCATGCCGTAATCGCCCATTCCGTCGCTGATCCTCTGGAAGTGCACGAGCACTTCGCCCAGAAGGTAGACCAGGTGGAACACGGTCTCCGCTGCGTCCACGAACGTCAGCCGGAACTTCTTTAGCCGGGCCTCCCGGAAGGGCCCCGCGAAGCCGGAGTTCGCCTTGAGCGCGTCCCTTTCCAGCTCCTGCCGGACCTCCGCGAAGAAAGTGGTCACGCTGTCCGCCGCGATTGCGGACACCAGCGCCGTCTCCTGCGGCAACATCCGAATCCTACCCCCCCCAACCACCGATTCTCCAGAATCGATGGGAGCCGGGGGCAGGATTCGGGTTTCGCCAAAACGCTCGGCGAATTCCGAATCGTATACCCCCGCCGCCCATCGAGTTGCCTGAATCATGGATGGGCGAGGGCAGGGTTCGGATTTCGCCACCGATCTCCGCCGCCGTCGCCGGCTGACTGGTCGAGCCCGTGGCGCCGCCCGCGGCCGTGAAGCCGCTCGAGGCCTGGGCCTCAGCCTCGGCCCCCGCGGAGTCGAAGACGCGAAAGGTGGACGGCATGCTCAGCAGTCGGGCCACCACCGCACCGCACGTGGTCTGCCAGCCCTCCTTCATGAGCTTCTGCAGCGCCACATCGGCGCGGCTCGGCAGCGGGTTCGTCTCGCTGGGCAGGGACTGCCACAGCGCGACCACCTCCACCGACGGCAGCTTGTCCGTCTTCCCCAGGTCAGTGGTGGCCACCAGCAGGAAGATGATGGCGTCGGCGATGAGGTTCCTGCTCAGGGAGAGGCACCGCACTGCCAGCTCCGCGCACGTGCGGTCTCTCTCCAGCACTTCCCGCAGCTGGACCTGCAGGTGCTGGTAGACCTCCGCGAGCGTCTGCATGAAGCTTCTAGTGTTGCGAGACGGGAACAGGTTTGGGTGATTGAGGATGTCACGACAAAGCATGCACATTCTGTGCACTTCCTCTTCCAGAACGTCCTTGTTCGGTGCGCTGGCCCGCAACCACCGCTTCAGGAGCTCTATCAATCGTGTCCGGGGGTCGTGTGTGTACGACCTCCTCATGATGGCGAGACCGCCGAGCGCCTTGGCACGCCGGTCGCGCTGGTAGGCTAACAGCGTGTCCAACGCTGCCACCAGGTGGGTGTTCTCGTAGCGGGAGATGCCACGCTCAGTGGACGTGATCCCAAAGTCGCTCGCATTCGCCAGGTTTATGAGGGACGGGTCCGTAATGTGCTTGGTCACCAGGTGCTGCAGCACTTCCAGCTGGGTCTTCTTGCGCGAGCCCGTGAGCCCACTGAGTCTAGAAGTGCTCGTGGTGCTGGCCTCGGCCATGGCTGCACCTCTGAAAGACTCTTGCAACAAAAAAACGCGACTACGGTCAGGAACTTGTTTGCCGAGCGTGTCGCGGCGGCGGCCCTGGTGGCACGCCATGCCCTGCGAGCGGCTAGCGTGTCGCTCTGCTCCGCGGGGCGGGAGGCTGGGAGAGGCTCGAAAAAATTGTCGCTCGGGGACTGAAGCGTGGGTAGCTTGTCGCGCCGCAGCGTGGTGGGCCAGCACCGGCGGAGCGACACGCTAAACCAACGTTCCTGACCGTAACACGGCAACGTCCCCAAACACCCCACACGTGACACTTGGAACTCCAGCTTGAGCCAGAGGCTGCAAGACCGACTTGGCCAATGTCAATATATACCTGGGCGACAGTGTACGAGCGGCCAGCGGTAGCATACCACCAGCATCGAGAAGCATCCCGAACTGTGAGACGCATTGCCGGGCTGCTCACTTGCCAATGCCGGAAGTCTCTTCTGTCTGCCCTGCGACCCTGTCTCCTGAAGCACGAGGGTGGCCCCACAGGGTTCCAGCATGGCTCCCAAAGGTCAGCAATGGGGGGGCACCCGGGACGACCTCGGCGGCGAGCGGCCCCAGGAGGGCCCGGGATGCCCCAGGAAAGACAAACGTGCCCCGGGGAGGCGATCGGAGGGCCCAGTGACGTGCAGCGGGGAAGCATCAGGACGCCCCAGGAAAGACGGCCCATGGAGACACCAAAGGGCCCCAGCGGGCCCCAGGAGGCCGAGGGGGAGAAGAGGGAGCCAGTGCCTTCACGAGCTCCTCAACACACCTCCTAGGCCCCAGAGCTGAGAGGCCACTGAATCGCTCTGCAGGCCCTGGCGGCTCCCCGAATGGCCCAAGATGGCTCCAATACTACCCCGCATGGCCAAACATAATCACTTGCATCACCCAAATCGGCCCAACTCTGTCGAAGATGGCATCCACGATGGCTCAAAGATGGCTCCACGTGAGCGCTCAAAAGGACCCTGCAGGAGCCCGAAGGCGCCCAAGAGGGCATCCAAGAGGACACGGCAATGATGGAAGAGCGCGCTTCTGGCTTATGCTCACTGCATCCGTACCCTGGCCTCCATCACACGTCCTCCCGGTCCCCCTCCACCTCCTGCCCCCTCCTCTTCCTTTGCCTCCTTCCCCCCCTCCTTCTCTTCCTCCGCCTTCGCCTCCTTCTCCCCCTGCTCCTCCGCCTTCGCCTCCTCCTCCTGCGCATCGTATCGCTCTTCATCGTCTTCCTCCTATTCCACCTCCTCCTTCTCCTCATGCTCCGCCTCTTCGCTTTCCAAAGGGACCTTCCAGGCCTTTTCTGAACCCCTGCTGAGTTGCAAATGATTGCGGCAAAAAAAATACCAAGTGACAACTTACTACTGTATTCGAGAACATCCTAGGTAAGTCGCCCGGGCCCCCTGTGTAGACTGCAGAAAAAGCACCCTTGCAAGCAGTACCCCGACAGGCGAAGCCGTCTAGGAAATGTACCTGGGGAAGGGATCGAACTGGGCAGGACTGTCTAGCCAACGCCCAGGACCCTCCAGCAAACGCCACTCGTGGTCGGGTTTTTTTGTTCCCCTTCCTCGACGATGGGCCACACGACGCGCGAGGGGCATACAGAAGCGGCTGCCGGGGCCACGTGCGGGCTGCGCCCACGCGGGCTGCGCTCTGCATGGGCAGCGGCCTGCGCGAGGGGCGGCTGCCGAACGGCATGCTCGGGCCTGGTCCGGGCGCGCCCACCGGAGCGGCAGCCGTGGCTCCCCCCCGTGGGGCACCCGGGCGCAGCGCGAGGGGCGTGCCAGAGCTCAGCGGCAGCAGCGGCAGGGCGGGCTGCCGCAGCAGCGGCCGCAGGGTCTGGTGGCTGGCGGCGTCGGGGAAGGGGAGGGGGGGGACGTCGCGCGGCGCGGCGCCGAGGGGACGACGACCAAAATCCACAGGAGGGGGTGTGGGGAGCACACAATGGGCGGGGGGAGGGGCGTCGGGCTCGAAGGGGGGAGCGGGGGAGGGTCTAGAAGCCTGGCTGGCAGGGGCGCCGCGCTGGTAGCGAAGATCTGGGGCAAGATTCTCTCATTCCGCGCCGCCTCCTCAGCATGTCCTCTGTTATGAGAGTGAGGGGGCCGAGCGGTCTTGCACCATCCCTGGGTGCCCGGCTGTAGTGCGGTTCTGCGGTGCGGGTTGTCGGTGTCCCCCACAAGCTAAGTTAGGTTTTGGTGTTCTCCCAACCCGCGTCGCACCCGCGCCTCTCCCAACATACACACACACACACGCACGCACGCACGCACGCACGCACGCACGCACACACACAAACACACGCACACAATTGTTGACAGCGGCGCGTTCGGATAGCTGGCGGGCCGCGCGGGGCTGCATACACACTCACACACGGCTCCCCCCCTTCCCTCTCTTCTCACACGCATGCGCATGGACACACGCACACATGCAGCCGTGCAACCACACAACACACATACACACCGCACGCATCCACACCACGCACAAGTAGGAGTAGGAGGACACGCAAAACGCGAAACGCTGACATAACAACGCTAGTACACAACGGGTGGCCAGGGGGGGGGGTCGCTATCCGAGTCAGACTCCAAGGGCGCGGCAGGGGTGGCATATTCTCGACACCAAATGGGGGTGCGCAAGTGGTGGGGTCACTATCCGTCTCAGTCCCCGAGGGCGTGGCAGGCGTGGCCTTTCCTCGAAACCAGATGTCACTCAGGACGAGGCCGCACGGGGTGCAAGTGAACATTTCGCGGCGCAAGTTTTGCTCATTTGGCAAAGAATGCATACATTTCTCCGCGAAACCCTTCGGGTTCCGATGTCAAGTCCCCAGTGAAGTTCAGTGTGAATTCATGGCGAATATCTGGTGAATTGCTCGTGGATTTGTTCGACCGTTTTGGCTCGACAATGTTGCCTCTAACCGAGACGTACTTTCCGCGCGAAAGCCACTTGTAACTCATCGGCCTCGTTTTCCCGAAATCCACTTGGGGATTCTCCTCGCAAGTTTGCACGGCCCGCCACTCGAACTCTGAAAGTTCCTTCGTCACCCCTGCCGACCGCGCACGCAACAAGAGCAAGTCACTGCTGGCATGGGCCACGGTAATGCAAAGGGGTGCGCGAAGGGTGCGGTCGCTACCCGTGTCAGGCTCCAAGGGCGTGGCAAGTGTGGCACTCTCTCGACGCTAGAGGGGGTGTGCAAAGGGTGCGGTCGCCATCCGGCCATCCGTGCTGGGCTCCCAGGGAGTGTCAGGCGTGGCAATTTTGACGACGCCAAAAGGGGCACGCAGGGGGTGGAGTCGCTATGCGCGTCAGGCTACCAGGGCGTGGCAGGCGTGACACTTTCTCGACGCCCGAGGGGGGTGCGCAAGTGGTGGGGTCGTTCGCCGTGTCAGGCTCCCAAGGCGTGGCATGCGTGGCATCTCCTCGACGCCAGAGGGGGTGCGAAGGTGGTGCGGTCTCTATTCGTTGTAGGCTCGCAGGGCGCGGCAGGCATGGCATTTCCTCGACGCCGTAAAGGTTTCGCAAGGGGCGCGGTCTCTACCCGCGGAAGCTGCTCTTCCTCAGTCCTCCTCATCCTCATGCTCCTCCTGAACCTCCTGCTCTTCCTCCTCCTCCTCCTCCTCCTCCTTCTCCTCCTCGTCCTCCTCCCGCTCCTCGCTTCCCGAAGGCACCGATGCCGAAAAACGGAGTCCTCCTCGGCCAGCTCCTTGATGTCGCAGCCCTCGCCGAGCGTCTCGCAGCACCTGAAATGGGGGGCAACAAGTGTCAGCGCAGAACCCTCACGCACGCCCTTCCTCAACGGCGGATATGAGGCGAAGGGGAGCACAGTGAAGAGGAGGATGGAGAGGGTGACGAGGCAGAGGGCATCGACCAGGATGGTAATGACGACGACGGCGGCGACGACGACTGGGCAAGGAGGATGATGACGACGAGGACAAGGAGGAAGAGAGAGGGAGGAAGCAAGGCGGGTGATGGGAAGACGGAGAAGAAACACAGGAAGGAACAGGAGAGGGAGGGAGGATAGAGTGGCACGCTCACTCCATGATCCAGGGCTCCAGGCATACGACGTCGTCTATTGGTCTGCGACAAAGAACATTCCCGCCCTGACACAGAGCTACTGGATACTGGGCCTTGACATGGAATAGCGCAGCCACGGCGAACCATACCTGCGTGTTGCCAGCGCCGCTGAGCAGCTGAGCATCAGCTACTACGAGCCCTGGACAAGTATTAGTAACTTCGACCTTCGACGGGCACACCACTGCACCGTTGATACAGCCAGTTGGCGGGAAACGGGTGGCGGTCAAAGCTTGGCATGCAAAGCCCGGCAAGTTTTAAACAGAGCAACCAAAACCGTGGGACCCCCCGTTGTGACAACCACTAAATGGGATTCCGGCAGGCCCTGCATCTGCAGATTAGCGGCGCATGGTCAACGACCGGGCGCCGCACAGTCTGCGCATGACAGATCCCATGAACTCCAACTCGGGCACCCTAGCAAGATCCACTCCTGTTCTGTATCCGTGTGCGGGCGCCTGGGAAGCACCAGGATCTCAAGCGGATACATCATAAGGGCAGCTGCGAACATCACCCCAGTGTCGTGCCAGATTCTCTGCGCTCTGTTCGATGGACGGTGGGGCCGAGGGCACGGGGTCGCCCACTGCTGGCGGCATTCAACGGGCACATACATGTTATCTTATGTCAGCGGCGCAGAGGGTCCTCAGGCGCGAACAGCAAATGCAGGTGCTGATTGCGATCGAGCATCGTCGAAGGCGCAGTGTACGAAGCGTCGCACACAGAAGAGTGCAAACATGGGTAGTCGGAAGGAGAAGCTGTAAGTCCAAACGAACGTGCAGCGGCCAGAGAACCGAGGAGGCTACTCAACTCGTGCGGGCGCATACACAGGCACCGCCTGAGGGCGTGGGCGGCGGTGCTGTCCGGAACCATGTCGCCGTTTCAGCATCTGGGTGCCAGAGGACACCCAAGCAGTAATCCAAGAGAAAAAGAGAAAGAGAGAGAGACAGAGAGAACTAAAGAAAGAGAAAGAGAGAGAGAGAGAGAGAATAAGACAAGCAATAACGTCAAGGAAGTGGAAGCTGCTCGACTCGGGAAGCGCGCCAGGGCATCTTCGTGGCTATACACGGGGCAGCCAAGACCATCAGAGTGCTTTGCAACCCCGTTGCTCCTCTCTGCTTCCCTTGAGAAAAGGAGGGCTACACGAGCGAAGGGCGAGACCGAGAATGCCGAGACCGAGACCGAGAACGACGAGCAACAGGAGAAGAGAGGGAGCAAAAGCAGGGGGCAGAAGGGGGAGCAGGAAGCAGCGCAGCCTGGGAGCAGCAGCGGCAGCAGCAGCAGGACGACGACGCCGCGGGCGATGACGGGCCGCGCGGGCGGAGGAGGCGCCACTTCAGCCTCTCCGGCGACCAGCCCCGGTCCCAGGCGTACTCCCCGCTGTAGCAGTCGTACGGCGGACCTGAGAGCAGCGCGGGGCGCCCCGCGCAAGCGGCGGCCCGCGGACCCAGCCCCGCGCCGGGCTCGGGCCCCGCTTCGGGCCCGGGCTCGGGCTCCGGGATCGTGCTCGGGCTCGCGCTGAGGTCGAGCGTGTCCTCCTGCAGGCGGATTTCGGACGAACCATCAAATAGCCAGTGAAGCAAATTTTCAGAAATACTCCAAAAAGTCGTCCCCACACCATTTCTTGGGGGCTCTTTGGAATCATTCCTCCTGCAGAGGGCAGCTGCTCGGGCTCGGGCCCGGCCTCGCCGGGCTCGGGCCCCGGGCTTCGGGCTCGGCTTTCGGGCTCGGGCTCCGCCCTCCTGCCTGCCGCCTCTCGAGCCCCCCGCCTGCTGGCCGCGGGCTGCCCGGCCCCCAGCCGGCCTCATCCCCCTCCTCCTCCTCCTCCTCCTCCTCCTCCTCCTCCTCCTCCTCCTCCTCCTCCTCCTCCTCCTCCTCCTCCTCCTCTCGGGCCCCATCCTCTTGCCCCAGCCGGCCACCGCCAGGAGAGCCCCCTGGCCCCGGAAGGCCTCCAGGAAGGTTCCCACGAGGAGGCTGAGGAGCATGCACAGGCGTAAATCCCTCGAGCGCCCGTCCTCGCTCCTCGAGCGCCTGTCCTCATCGTCATCATCGTCATCATCGTCATCATCATCACCATCGTCATCATCATCATCATCATCATCATCATCATCATCATCATCATCATCATCATCCTCCTCATCGTCGTCGTCGTCGTCATCATCATCATCATCATCATCATCATCATCATCATCATCATCACCATCATCACCATTCATCATAATCATCATCACCATCATCACCATTCATCATCATCATCAGCAGCAGCATCAGCATCAGCATCATCATCATCATCATCATAATCAGCATCATCCTCAGTAGCAGCAGCACAAGCACCAGCATTACCCTCATCACCATCATCATCATCATCATCATCATCATGATTATGCTCATTAACATCATCACCGTCGTCATCATCATAAGCATCATCATCATCATCAGCAGCATCAGCATTAGCATCATCAGCATCATCGTCGTCATCATCATCAGCAGCATCTGCATCATCGCCGCCACCATCATCAACATTAGCATCATACGCATCATGATCAGCAGCATCATCATCATCATCATCATCATCGTCATCATTACCACCAGCATCATCATCAGCTTCACCATCGTCATCATCATCGTCATCATCATTGTCATCATCGTCATGATCGTCATCGTCGCCATCATCATCAGCAGCATCATCGTCACCGTCCACATCGCCATTACCATCACCATCATCACCATCATCAGCATCATCATCATCAGTATCATATTCCTCCTGTTCTCCTCCGACTCCTCCTCCTCCTCCTGCGAGTGTTCACCTCCCCGCATCCGTGCGCGCAACGTGTGCCTCCTGCTCCTCCACCTCCTCGTCTCCACACCTCCTCATCGGCGTCGTCGCCGTGGCGGTTGTGGTGGTGGTCCTCCTCCCCCTCCTCCTCATGCGCCTTGTCCTTTTTGCTTCTGCCGCAGGGCCTAGAACACTCACTGTGTTAACCACTTGTTCCCGTCACGATATTCAAGCACAAACTACACGGTTGACAAGGTGAAAGACACGACACAGGAGACAACGCTGCTGCTACACATGGCCCATGGCGATTAGGCACTATCTTCGGCATGGCCAGTGCTGCCTCTTTAGAGTCAGGGCCTGAGCCGTGAGAGAAGTAACGTGTCGTGACAAACGTTCCTAACAACATGTCGCATAAACAATTACGGTATCGTATCGTCCACGTGGCACCGCAGCTTCAAGATACCACGCTGCTGCAAAACACGACGTCGCCCCTGTGCCGCCATCGGTGCAGACAATGAGGCTGCCACGGTACAAATCTACCGGCTCAAATGGGGAACACTGGTACTATGACTTTCCCTCGTCCATTGTGACGTTCACGAGGTGACCTCGCGCCTTTGCCAAAGTACGATGTCATCGCGGTCACGCGGCGGCCGCCAACGATAGTGCACAATGTCCTCACAAGGTCGCGTGATACGGCTCGACATTGGTGCCACAGACGGAGCTGTCAAGATGTTAGCACCAATTGCGACGTCAGCAAGTGGCGGGCAATCCGTGATGCAGAGCGCACGTCCACGGTCGCCGTCCCAAGTAGCAGGAGGTGCGCCCTTCCCGTGATCCCCAGGAATATCTTCCAACGGACGTGAACCAGTCCTCCTTCGCTTCGAGCACGATGGCGCCGCTGTGACTGTCTGCTCTGCGCTGTCGACTTGACCAAAGAACAACTCTCATCTTGTGCAACATCGTCTTTCCCAGAAAAAGTAGGTTCGCATCCGCTCGATCCCTGTCAGCATGCATCCCACTGGGAACGCCACTCGGCACCGACCACGGGCAGGAACACGTCCTCCCATTCAACTCTGCGCCCACGTCCTGCGTGCGACGCTCCCTGCGTTCCCCTCTCCCGCTTCCCATCAAGCACACCGCTTCCCAACCCCAGCTGGCACGAAAGAAGCACGGCAGAACAGGGTAGGTGTGGCATCCACGGCCCATGGCAAACGCTTCACGCCAAGAGCTTCTGAATACGCTGTGGCGAGCACGACAATGCAACGGCTTCACACCAGAAAGAAGAAACATACGTCCCTAAACTGTGGGCCGGACGTAACATGATTGGTGATGCACTTCACCCGACCTCCGACGAAATCCGAGCACTTCCTGTAACATTCGAAACTCCTACATTTGAACCTTGATCAGGACGTGTTCCGAAGGGTGCCATGTGGAGCGACAATGTGCTTCCGAACCTTCCTCGTCCTCGTCCTCATCCTCCCCCCTCCCTCCTACTTCCCTCCCCCCCTCCTCCCTTCCTCTTCGCCGTGACTCTATGGGTGCGCGTTCGCCCGTTTCTCGCAAGCGCCTATATGAAACAGATTGCCAACCGCGAAGACGCCGCCACAACGGTGTTGGCTGCCCCAGCATGTCCCAGCATGGGATCGGGATCCCTGGGTCTGCGACAAACTGGGCAGGGCGCCGAAATTTGGAAATCCCTGTTGGCTGCCCTTGTCGTGCCAGGCAGTCTGGGGACATCCCACCTCGAAGGGAAACTTAACGTCTTGCAGTCACTCCTCCTACTTCTCGTTCTCCCTCCTCCTCCTCCTCCTCCTCCTCCTCGTCAAACCTCCCCTCTTCCTCCCTCCTCCCTCCTCCTCGGCGTTTACGCACTGCAGCTGCTGATCCCTCCTCCTTCTCCTCCTCCTCCTCCTCCTCCTCCTCCTCCTCCTCCTCCTCCTCCTCCTCCTCCTCCTCCCCCCTCCATCCCCTCCTCCCCATCCGTCCCTTCCCTCCTCTTTCTCCTCCTCTTTCTCCTCCTATCCCTCCTTTCCACTCCTTCCTTCCCCTTTCTTCCCCCTCCTCCTTCTCCCCCTATCCCCCTCCGCCCTGCGCATCTCTCGCTTTGTCACCCCCGCACCCCCACCCCGCTGCTCCCCCGCCTCTCTCTTATCGACTACACGCAAGGGTGACCCTGGGTAAGAGAGACCGTTGGTGCACGGCTTTTTGGGGCCGCGGGGACACCAAACCTGGGCGCGCAAGTCGGTGCTACCGCTTCGTTTTCAGCCATCTGAGGGCCCACCTGTGCCCGCACCAAAGGTCACTCCAGCGAAAGGTCACTCTCACGTCTAGTCGATCTTACCTCTCAAATCCCTTCAGCCCTTCTCCTCCTGCCGCCCTTCCGCGACCCCCCCCTGTCGTGCTCTGCTCTTGCCTGCCGCCACCTCTCCTCACAGCTTCCTCTGCCATCTTCTCCGTTGCACCTCACCTCCTCCTCACCTCCTCCTCCTCCTCCTCCTCCTCCTCCTCCTCCTCCTCCTCCCGCCTTCTTCTTCTTCTTCTTCTCCTCCTCCTCCTCCTACTCCTCTTCCTCCTCTTCTTCCTCCTCCTCCTCCTCCTTTCGCCTTCTTCTCCTCCTCGCATTCCCCCCTCCCACCTGGCTCCCTCCCTCACCTGCCTCGCGCATGATCCCTCGTGCCTTCCCTCCGCCCTCCCCCTTGGCGACGAGCTCGCAGGACGAGGATGTGGAGACGGAAACTGATACGGATAGAGTATACCGCGCATGGATTTCAATCTACACAAATGTATGTATACAGACAGACGCACAGAGAGAGAGAGAGAGGGAGAGGGAGAGGGAGGCAGAGAGAGAGGGAGAAAGGACACAAAAACGGTAGAGGGGGCGAAGACGAGCACAGATGAGCGAGGGGGGGAATATTGTAGGAGGGGGACGAGGAGAAGGAGGAGGAGGAGGAGGAGGAGGAGGAGGAGAAGCGGGAGGGGGACCAGGAGGAGCGGGAGGGGGACCAGGAGGAGGAGGAGGAGGAGGAGGAGGAGTAAACGAAAGAGGGAAAGGAGGATGGGGGGGAAGAGGACCAAGACCACGGCAGCAAGGGGGAGGAAGAGGAGAAGTGAGAAGTGTCGATTCGAGAAGTTCGTACTCCATCACTTTCCCCCTCCTCCCCCTCCCCCCCTCCCACAGAGAACTCCGGAGGACTGTGGAGGGCCCCGACGGCACCGGAGGCCCCCCGAGCGGAGCCTCCGGACTCTCGAGCCGCGATCCTCGCTCGCCGCTCCTCGCCGCCGCCCTCTGCACTCGCACATCGGCCCCTGAACTTTGGCGGCGCGCAGAAGGGGGTGGAGGGAGGGGGGAAGGCTTCTTAGAAGGAGGCTGCTGCTTAGAGGGCGGCGACCTTACATCTACACAGAAGGACCGCGCCTTCTCAGAAGCAGGGGTGCTTCTGGGAAGCCCTCCCCCCTCCCTCCACCCCCCTCCGCGCGTGGCCGAACACTCCCCGACCTGTCCAGCGGTGCTGCGCGACTGGAACTCCGATGCGACTCTGGCCGTGGCGACGGGGGCGCCCCGGGAGGCCACATACACACACAAAACCAGAGATCCCCTGTGTAATGAAGGGGCCCCAGGACACACAAATGAATACACACAAATAAAAAGATCACCCATCTTTTCCCATATTTTCCCAGATGTTCTGGGTTTTTGTCTTCCCCCCCACTTCCCATATTTTCCCATATTTTCGGTGGAATCGACGGTTAATTGTGTCTGTGTGTTTTTTCTCCTCCTGAGTTACGGATGGCAGCGGGCTTCGGACAAAAAAAACAACCACCCGCCCGAGGTCCATCGGCGCCATGCCGCAGGGGCGGATGCAACGCATGGGAAAAACGCGCGTGCCTGAAGATCCAGGACGCCATCCACTCCGTCTGCCTCCGCCCGAAGACCCAGGACGGAAAGAGCGAATGAGACCGACGCCCCAGGGTTCAGGCCCCGCGCCGAGAAAAGATGCACACGTCCGAGCGATGGCAAGTAAGAGTGACCCTAGACAAGAGTGGCCTTTGGTCCACGGCCTTCGGGGGGCCGCGGGGGGGGCATCCCCAAGCGCACAAGACGCTAGTATCGCATCACGTTCGGCGATCGAGGACCCCAGTGGGCCCGCAACAAAAGATCACTCCGGCGAAGGGTCACTGATGACGTGGAACCGATCCAGGCACGGCAGGAAGGGGGGAGCCCCCCCCGCCAGGATCAGCTACGCACATGTTTGACTGCCCCCAGGGCCCGACCACGGCGCGGCCCCTACCCCCTGGAGCGCGACACGAGCAGGCAGGCAGCGCGAATGAGCAATAATGTGCGGCGACAGCCGGACCCTACCCCTACCAACCCTCGACCCTCCCGAATCGACGGGAGGCTGGGGAGAGGTTTGGAGTTCGCCACGTGTTCGACGAATTCCGAGCCCTACCGCCCCCCGCCCATGGAGTGGCCTGAATCGTTGACCGGCGAGGGTAGCGTGCGGATTTGGCCGACGAGAGCACCAATCCGCCCGCCCGACCATCCAGGACTGCATGGAAGGAGATGAAGGGGCAAAGAAATGGACACAGATCCCAGGATTCCCCTCATGTTCTCCTACGTTCTCGGTTTTCGTCTCCCCCCCTCACACTTCCCATACAGTCAGCCCGCATAGACAGGATGGGCGGCCTTCCCAAGGGTGCCCTTGCATCCTTGCCTCTTCGGTCCATCCTTGGCAACTTTCGTTGGCCGCGCCCCGCTGGAGAAGTTTCGACATGGTCCTCCAAGGCCCTTTCATCCCTATCGCGCTGCCTTACGATATGGGCCGACTGTATTAGAAGAAAGAAGAGCGCCATAAACATAAACTTTTGGCGCTCCGCGCGGATTTCTTGGATCCGCGATGGACTCCCCTCCCTGGCCAGGAGGGCGCCAGGGGCGGCGCCGGAGGCGCCGCCAGGGGGGGGGCCCAGCGTGGATCCAAGAAATACACGCGGAGCCCCAAAAAGGTGTCTCTGTATGGCCTTTTTCTTCTTCGAGACTGCATGTCCCAACATTTTCCTGCGAATCGACGACTCTTTGTGTCTCTCTGCGTGTGTTGTGTGTTGTGTTGTGTTGTGCTGTGCTGTGCTGTGCTGTGTTGTGCTGTGCTGTGCTGTGCTGTGCTGTGCTGTGCTGTGCTGTGCTGTGTTGTGCTGTTGTGTTGTGTTGTATTGTGTTGTGTTGTGTTGTGTTGTGTTATGTTGTGTTGTGTTGTGCTGTGTTGTGCTGTGCTGTGCTGTGCTGTGCTGTGTTGTGCTGTGTTGCGTTGCGTTGCGTTGCGTTGCGTTGCGTTGCGTGCCTCGGTGCCTGTGTTCTTGCCCCCCTCCCGAGGAAAAAGCGGCGCGAGGCCGCCGCCCCGCACGCCGCGCCGCGGGGGGTCCGAGGCCGCGGCTCGTGGTCGAGGCCGCAAGGGCGCTCACGGCGGCGGGCGCGGCGCCGGCCTGGGCGGGCGAGGCGCCCGCCTGCGGGGGGGCCCGCAGGGCGGCGGAGGGGGGGGGGGGGCGAGGAGAGCGGAGGGCGGTGGGTGGGGTCCTCCTCCTCGTCGTCGTCGCTCCTCCTCCTCCTCCTCCCCTCCTCCTGCTCTCCTCTTCCTCGTCGTCGTCCTCCTCCTCCTCCTCGTCCTGGGGCGGGGGGGGGGGGGGGGCGGGCGGGGGGAGGGAGGAGGCGAGGGGAGGGAGGAGGCAAGGGGGGGAGGAGGAGGAGGAGAGTAGGAGGAGAGGAGGAGGGAGAGGGGAGGTGATGGAGGAGGAGGAGGAGGAGAAGGAGGAGGAGGAGGAGAAGGAGGAGGAGGAGGAGGAGGAGGAGAAGGAAGAGGAGGAGGAGGAAGAGGAGGAGCAGGAGGAGGGAGGAGGAGGAGGAGGAGGAGGAGGAGGAGGAGGAGGAGGAGGTTTTTTTTTGCTGCTAGAATGGCGGTCCCCGCCCCAGCTCGCCACAAGAGAAAGAGGATGGGCGGGCACTCCGCCACGGGGTGCCTCCCGCCCCGTCCTGCCTCAGTCCATGAGGCACTCCCAGAAAGCGTCACACTCCTCCTGTACCAGGGAGCGCGGTACCGCTTCGAGGGAGACCTTTACTGCATAAGGATTCCTGCCTCGGCGCAGGAGCGAGAGGCGGTACCCTGCGGTGGAGTTCGCTGGGGCCCCGACGCAGGCGCCCAGGAGCTTGCACCCCCTCTCGCTCGAAAAGACACCGCACCGATCGCAGAATGTATACTGGCCCACTCGGTGCAGCTCGTGCCCTAGGGCCGCTCCACGGAGGGCGGGAGAAACGTCTCCTTCCCCATCCCCCCGCCCCAGCCCGACTCCCCAACGACGATCCGCCCTCATCTTACCCAGGCAGGGTCTGCGCGCCAACGCGCGCTTGGTCTTGCTGGAGAAAGCTTCGCGGCCACACGTCGAGCAACGCCACGCCCCCCTCCTCCAGAGGAGGACGCGAGCTCGGGCCCCCTCGGGCGGTCCTTGCCGCCTTCGGCGGGCCCCTCTGGAGCCCGCGGCAGGCCTCCCCGTGGAATCCCCGAAATCCGCAGTCAACCCCGTCACCCCCGCCACCAGAGTCAACACTGCCTGGACCTCCGCCGAGCGGGTGGTCCAGGTCTGGGCCTTCCACGGGGGGACCTCCTGCATGTCGGCCCCTAGGCGGGCCTCATTATCTGCCAATTGGTTCCCTTGAACATCGAGAAAACTTTCGTGCGAGTCATCCTTCGGCCCGCGCGCATGGGCCTTTACCTTGACGGCCTGGAAGTCGCCTTCTTGGCTGAAACTATCCTGGAGCTGGGCCCAAATCCTGCCCCAGAGGTCGGCGTGAGGCCTCCGAGGGCTGCAGCACCAACGGGGTCCTCTACGGAGGCCTCGAATGACTGAACTGTTGTCGATCCCTACCCTCAGCGGAGGGTGGGCGCTATACAGCAACTTGAGCAATCCATACAATTCAGCACGGAGGACGGAGGCGAGGATACGCAGCCCTGGGAGGGTACCCCGCATGGCCTTGACAGCCCCCCCGTCCTGGTCCAGGAAAACGAAGCCCCAACCGAAGCTCTTGAGCCCTGGTGGGCCTCTGGCCGATCCGTCAGAGTAGGCCCACCCTGAGACCAGCGGGGGATTCACAAAATCGGGGTTTTCATCCGCCAGGGCATTAATCCAATCAGACTGCGGGTCCTCCAGGGGGTGCTCGTGAAGCCCACGGGAGAAGAGGAGGGAATCCGAGGAGGAGGATTCAGCACGATGCACGATCCCTTGGAGGCCCTCAGCCTCTGCGACGGTGGCTCTCGCCGCTCCTCGGTCTGGGCAACAACAGAAATGATGGTGCTGACATCCGACTTCTGCGCCACAGGCTTGGCAGGACCTGTCGTCCCCGAAGCCCGCGCGCCAGACCTTTTCCTGGGTCCAGAAGTCTCGGCCCATGTAGGCCAGGATAGCCGATCGCCTCTGCGGCGATCGGTTAGCCTTTCGCCGAAGGAGAGCCCGAATAGGCTCGAGGAAAGGACGGGTGATTCCGAGGTCCCTGGAAGCCGCCCAGGAGGTCATTACCGCAAATTCCAAACGGGTCCAGATCAGCTTCTTGAGACACTGCGGTGCCGTCCTACGCAACTCCCAGTGCTGCCCGAGATGGTCGGAGAAAACGTGAGGGGCAGGCCACGTCCACGAGAGGAGATGGAGCGTGGCCCAGACGGCGGAGGCAGGTCCTTTTATCTGTCTCCAGGGGTTGCTCCCAGGCTTGGCGGCAGCGGCCGCCGCAACAGCTCTGCGCCACCCCGCAGCCATGATCTCCTCATGGTTGCCAGCAAAGATAGCCTCCGCCCATTTGAGCAGTGGCTTCGTGCAAGCGTCGACCAGGGGGTCGCAGCGAAGCGTCCACAGGCGCAGCAGTCGGTCCTTACCGATTGCGTTCCCGCCCAGCGCTGAAGCCATGAGAGCCCTCGCTCGGGTGAGCCGAGTCGGGTCCATTCCGAGGCAGACCGCCCCATACAGCACAGAGGGGAGAAATCCCATACGCGCAACTTGAAAGGTGCGCGCGCCCTGCTTGCCGAGACTCGATAACTTACTTCTACGTCGCCGAGCGCTCCCCATCCTGGCATCGGCTCTGGCGCGCAGCGACACAACTCCTCCTCCCGCCGAATCAACTCCGAGCTGCGTGCTGTTGGCCTGGACCTCCAGTCCAAGGCTGTGGGCCCAGCCTTTGATGCGGGCTCGCAGGGTGCGCTGCGCTGTCATGATGAACCCCTTGCCCTTCGGCTTGTCTGGTCGGGCCCTGGAGACGGGGATCCCACGGGCCTCCATTTCTTCTAGATACTGGGTCGTGGCCGCACGCGGCGAGGCCGAGACATCCGCCTCCGCACCTCGCGCCTGCATGCTCAAATCATCGACAAATAGCTTCAGCTGCATGGCAGGGTGCTCTTGCGCCAACCCGTCCACAACTGACAAGATGGCTAGCTTGAGGCATCCCGTGCCCCCGCTGCTGCCAGCAACGACTGCAGAGAATGTGGTGACCGAGTGCACCGACACCACGCCGCGGAACGAAACAAAACGCGTGGCTGTGTATATTGAGATCAGGAGCTTCAAAAGCTGCAACCGAAACTGATGCCTGGGCGCCTCGGCCCACAACAAGTACATCGTGACATGCTCGAACGCCTTCTCAAGGTCTAGGACCGCCGTGCCCGTCACCTCCCCAGGTTGGGCTCCTTCGTCGAACAACATTTGCTGCCATATCGCTTCCTCTGAACCCCCGCCTGGCGCCGCGAAGTCGTAGTCCCGTCGAACCTCCCGCTCCCAGTCGTGGAGCTGGTGCGAGTGCGCGCGCTCCACCAGCCGCGCGGCAGTGGTGAGGAGGCCGATGGGCCTAGTCCCCCCACCCTGCTTGGCCAGTAGAAAATACATCACGTAGCGCAGCTGGGGGGGCCACCTGGCCGTGCGCGACACGTAGGCGACGAAGGCGGCCAGGAACACGAGCCCTTTCGTCCCCCAAGCTCGCAAACCACCTGGGGTGCCAGTTGCCCACTCCAACCCCCGTGTGCTCTGGGAAGGCCCTGCATATGGCCCTGATGTCTTCCGCTGTAGGCTCGATCATGCTATGCTCGAAAGTGGCCGCCTCCCAGGGCCGCGGGAGCTCCCCTCGGCTTTGGGCGCCGTGGGAGGTCCAGAGGTCGATCCACTTCAGCGCCTCTAGGTCCACCGCGGCCTGCGGGCAGGTCATGTCCAGGTTGGTGCGCCCTCTGGCCCCGGGGGCGGGGTCGATTCCCTGGCGCCACTTCGACATGCGATGGACAAAGCCTGCTCCTCCTTGTGAGCCGTCCTTGAGCCTCTGCCGCCACGCCTTTGCCCTCTGATCTCGAAGGCCCTGCTCGATGACGTGGGCCTGCTGCGCGGCACGACGCTGCAACTCCATCGCCCTGGGAGCGTCCTCCCAGAGCGCGTCCCCGTCCCAGGTGAGGTCGCCCAGCGATAGGAGCTCGACGTGCACGGCCCTGGCGTCGTCGCCCAGCGCGTCGCACCAGCGAGCAGCACCATGGTGGAGGCGTCTGCGCAGGCGCCGCCACTGGTCGGCAAACGGTTTCCAGTCGCGCCGCTGGCGGGCCGCCTGCGCCAGCCAGACGATGTCACCTACGCGGCTGGCCACCCAGCGCCATGCCCTGGAGCGCGTGGTGCCCCTGGGCCTCGCATGCGCCTCTGGGCGTGCGATCGGGGCTCTGGCCCATCGCGGGTGGCCCCCCCTGACAGTGTAGTCGGCCTCGCCAACGAGGTCGTGGACGCCCTGCAGGTCGTGCTCGGCGGCCGCCGAGAACTCCGCCCACAACTTCTCCAGCTCGGCGTCGCTGTAGCTTGCTCCGCTGTCGAGGATCGGCCAGGCTGGTGGCTCCCTACGACAGCCCACGGGGAGGCGAGTCGGGAAGGCACGAGGCTTGACCAGCCTCCAGCCTAGCCGCTCCCGCAGCGGCCTCTCCGTCGTGATGGCGACGGGGCTGTGCGGGGCGGTGGACGCGTCCAGCACCTCCGCTGCTCCGAAGGCTGACGCGATGCGCGTGTCCACCACGAAGTAGTCGATGACCCCCCCGCCTCCCCTGCCTTGACAGGTGGGGGCGGCCGAGGAGAAGATGCTGCCCCCGACGTCGTCCACCCAGCCCGTGGCCCTGAGCGCGTCGGGGGTGTTGTTGAAATCCGCCTGGAGTACCCACGGTATGTCGTAGGACCTCACTGATTCTCCTATGGCGTCCAAGATGGACAGGTTGCGAACCGTCCAGCCCTCTGAAACCCAGAAGTAGGCGCTGAGGACCATGAGGCCACCACGAAGGAACCCAGGGGTCCAGGCCGCCACCAGCCTTCCTGGCGATCCTGGCGGCGAGAAATCGAATGTGTCGGCGCCCTCAAGGTAGGTGAGGCCCACGCAGCGTGGGGCGACAATCCCCACCCCTGCCACTCTGCCGCCACCTGGCCCCACTGCCGCGGGAGCAAGGGCGACGGTGAGGTGCCTC